ATATATATATATATATATATATATTGAAAGAAAGTCGCTCTTCGACAATTCCTCGAACGTTGCCGTGACGGAGTAGCCGAGACTGACGGTGTTATTCAAATATGGGAGATTACGCGATCTTCAATCCAGGCGCGCGACGTGGTACCTACCTACCTACCTATCTACTCGAGGCGCGCGAGAGAGGCGATCGTAACGGAATATAAAAGCCGCGTGTATTTGTTACTGTACGATCCACGGGCGCCGATCGCCGATAAGACACGTCAATACGGCGATCAGGGAGACGGCTCGTGAGGGAGAGCCGGAGGTGGGCGTTCGTGCGTGGGCGTTCATGCGTGCAGCCGCCAGTCGACGGATGAAGTCGACACAGAGAGGGATAAAACCGCGCGCGAGAGCAGGTACGCCACTTCATTTCGCGTACGAGGAATTCATCCGTAATTATCCTCCCTCGATGTCCCGACACGAGGAACGCGCGAGCTGTTTCTTTCCTTTTACAAAAGATGGAGGAAAGTTGAGAAATCTCGGAAAAAATCAAGCGGTTCACGTGCGTGTCAATCGCAAGATGTAATGAATAAACAACGTCATCTTTCTCATTACTTTACTTTATCCGATTACCCGACATTAATCGTTAATTATTCCCCTTAATAATTTTTAATTATTTTTGATATTATTTCTTAATTGTTCTCATTAATTCTGTTATTAATTTGCTGGTGGGAACCATTTTATCTCGAGCCATATTGAATTTTTGTATCGAATACCGAAGATTCAATGTCGCGGGATCGAATTGGATTCGGAGGACCACCAGATCGCTTTCCGTACATAATTCTTTCACGGACCTCCTCGATACTCGGAATGGGCATTAATCTCCCCGTCGACGGAAGCTTCGGGAAACCCTTTCTCCGACCTTGACACGGCGTCTATAAATAAAATCTATTGTCATTAATTAATTCGCGATACAGCCGCTCGGGATGATCGGTGGAGGAGTTCAGCCTTGATCTGGCCGATCGAAAAAAAAGGAGATGGAAAAAAAAACAAAGAGAGGAAGAATGAAACGTCTTGCATGTTTAAAATATAACGATTTACAACTCACTACGTCATTAATACTATCGTCGAAACGTTCGATGAGACTATCGAAAGAAATTAAACTATGCATATATAAAAAATTATACACATTATGATACTAATTCTCATTCTCGGACAGCGCGTATATCTCTTATTATCGAAAAGCATAAAGGCGGTTTTTTTACAAAATAGAGCGTCGAATCTCAAAGTGAAACGAAAAGTCATGGGAGGCCGGCGTTGATCTAATCGTATACATCCCGAGATGAGTTAGTTATCGCCAGATCCATTACAAACTAGACTACTCATTCTCCGTTAATTAATAGAACCGAATTCGAAAACTGATTCCTTACGTTTTTCTAAAGTGAGCACCTACATGCTTTAAGAAAGTCGATATGCCAGATAATTTCTAAGTACATTTTCTAAGCGTATAAAAAATAAACATGCTAGATTTTAGATAGACACATTGAATTCACATTTCTACATGAAAAATAAACACGCTAAATTTTAGACATTAGATTTCCTAAGCAAATTAGATTCTAAAAATATAATAAAGAAAGTAGTTTTTTCCAATATCAAATTTCCAAGTTATTCATTTTTCTCGTCGTTTATTGATTCATATCTTGATTTTGCAGCGACGAGGAAGCAAATCGCGAAATTGCGGCTGGACCGTGAATTGATGAAACATGGTAATGATGATGGTGGTGGTGGTGATGGTGCATCGCACGATGTGGGTGTCGATGCGTTACGGGGGGTCGACGTGGGGGTGACGCGAATCGTGCTTTTTACGGGGCGCCCAAGCGGCTTGTCGTTGCGCTCGTTGCCCCCCCTCCGTGCGCGTACGGGGATTCCAGCAGGTGCCCGTGAGATCCCCCATGGCTTTCGGTCGCTTTGTTCCTCGCGTCACCCGCTTCGTCCTCCCGATTATTAGGGCCTGGTCTTAATCGCGCGGTACCTGTTACGCGGCGGAATATTAATTCTTGAATGAATCACGCGAGGGGAGAAAAAGGGTGCCCTTTAATCCACTAATTTTGAAGCAGCGGCGCCGTGACTTCTATCACGAAACAGCCCAGACTCTCTTCAGACGCGTGTTATCAGAGAATTATTCTTCCCATGTCGTAAAGATTTGATAGTAACGTTTGTGTCGTGGTATTTGTAATTAAATACAACGCTATGCGCACGTAACGTACTCGTAATAATCGAAAAGCCCGCGGTCTCGTCGTATCTCCAGAGTTAAATTCTCGCGGAGTGAAGGAGTTCTTTTTCGTGGGACGCCGTCCGCGAAAATCTCGAAAGGATCGGTGAGCAAATCTGTGTTCTCTCGTGCTCGCGGAGATCTCTCGCGGGACGATTCGGATGCGATCGGTTAATACAATCCCACTTGTCGCCCGGAGCTTCAGCACACCGCATTCGTAGTAGAGCTCCCTTTATATCCATCCCGTCTTCCCCTGCCTACCCCTCGCGCCGGTTCGCGAAACAACGAGAACGAAGCGAAAGAAAGAAAGAAAGAAAGGAGGAAGGAAGGAAAGAAAAGGAAGATGGAGAAGAAGTGAGGAAAGACGAGAGGAAAGAAACGCGCGCAACGCTCTTCATTGCAATTTCGATTTCATTAAAAAATGGAGATGGAGCTTCCAGATGAAGGAACGAAAACGAGAACGACGGGGAGGAAGAAGCAGGCGGACGGAGAGGGCAGCGGGAGTTAAGAATGAATGAAGGAACGGAAGGGGGCGGAAGGTGGTGGCGTGCACGAGGAAAGAAAGGAGGCAAGAAAAGATACGACTGTCGAAGGGGCCACATCCGCGCGAACAGAGAAGAAACGAGGGAGTGCGAGAGGCTGGGGGAGGGTTGGGGGAGGGAAAGGGCAGCAGCAACAGCAGCAGCAGCGGCGGCAGTAGTGGAATATACTACTCGACCGAGTAGGGTCCTAGGAGGCAGCGTGTGTCGTGTGGCGTAGCCTATCGTGTGTAAAGGTAGCCGGTCGTCGTCGAAAGAGCCCGCAGAAGAAGAAGAAGAGGGCTCAGAGGCCAACTGATCATCGCATGCATTTAAATTGGTTCATTAAAGCCCCCACGGTCCACCCTCCTCTCGCCGGGTCTCCTCCCCTCCCCCCGCCCTGCTCCTCTCGCTTCTCTCCTCAGCCGGCTGTGTCTCTCTCCCCTTCCCCTACCTCGCCCCGGTTCTGTTCGCCGGATCTCGCTCTCCCCCCCGTCTCTCCCGTACCGTCCACCAGCCACCGTAGGACGACCCTATGGAAAGCCACAACACACCGCACCGGGCTGCGCTCGTTGCGTATACACCGGGCCGCGCATCCACCGTTCAATTGCGTGTATGCGCATACATACGCGCATACACGCGTACACACGCGCACACATATCGGTGGATGTAGCGGGTGACATCCTACTTATCACGCCGACACCGGAACGGAAGATGCCTTGCGTGAGACACGTTCCAGACTAAAGAAAGAGCCACGCGCGTCGGATCGCCGTCCCCGACCAATTACTACCGACGTTCTCCTCTCTTCTCGGAGACAGAACTGTGGAAATTTGATTCTTATCGGGATAACCAGCTACTGGATGCCTTCGCGTCGTCGCAGAACGGAGGGCTCAAATATAAAACCGCATATCCCTTGAGAGAAATAATCAGATATATATTTTAAACTCATTTATATAGAAATGTAACAAAGAAACGGATTAATCAATCAATTGAAATATTATATAATAAAGAAAAAAAAATAAAATGCTTACGTTATATCTTGTTTGTCTATTCTCTCTTAAAGTAGCAGCCTTATTTCTTATTTCGCGAACGGATTGACAGATGAGAACCTCTCCGTCGTAATCTGACGAAAAGAGTAATTCGCGATGGGAGCAAATGCGCGCGCGAAGTTCTTCATTTCTCTCGGTGTTCCGCATCCTCAGTGTTCCCGTTTCTTGTCTCACCGTTGAAATAAGTTCGCCATAAGTGTCGCTATGTGACCGCGCCGCGTTTTCACACGGTGAAACGCGAATCGATCCGCAGCGAGAGAAATCGCATCTCGCTCCATCTCGGCCGACCGCTATGCCGTTATCACGCCTGTCTTTTTGTCTTGCGCGTTAAAACGCGGCGGTTTACAAATTGCGTGGTCGTGGCGAGCATAGAAGGACGGTCGATTACGCTTCCAATATCCTAGATCCCGGCGAGCAGGCAAATTGACAGGAAGATTAACGCGGGATTCCGCTCAAGTCGCTGGCTAGCTTCAAGTCGCCATTAGATCGGACTTCGGCTCTCTCTCTCTCTTTCGTCGCCGGACTCGGATTCCTTGACGCAAATCTCTCGGAAGAGATAGATGTAAAGTTAATTATATTTATTACAAATAAGGATCATACGCTAATCGAGCGAGCAATCGACAGCACGAATCACTCTCGAGATTTTCGATCTTTTTTCTCATTATTCAAGTTAATAATGACTGATATATTATTTTATGATTAATAATAATCATCAAAACTGTGAACGGAATATCTTATTAGTCGCACACATTTTGCGTATTTTCATCTATATTTTCTCATTGGATCCCCACGAAATATTCCCCACGAAATATTTTCACAAAATTTCGCAGGGATGAAAAGATTGAACGCGAGCGAACAACATCGGCGACGCGAAAACTAACGAATGACGAGATTTATTTTTACAAACTGTAAAAATACATCAATACAATATTTTTACAAACTGTTTTGTGTACACACAAACGAGGGAATCCGCGATCGAAAGGCTAATGCACCCCCATGGTACGCGTCTGATTACCTACTGGAAATGTGCGTGCGTGCATCATGCGTGCGTGCGCGCGTGTGTATCACGCGCGGCACGTGTGTTTTCCATGCGTGTGTGCGCACGTGCCTGCCAGTGATTAATTTTTTAAAAGCGCATCGGCAAAATCGGGAATACTGAAAAATGTAACGTCCACTAAAAGAGCCAATTCTAAATAACCATCGTCATCGCCTTCCATACAAGATGCATTAACAATCCGCACCGAATGCATTTATTGAGAGCCTTTGTTTTCGCCATTTTTTTATATTATTTTTTCCGATAAAATTAATGACAGTTTTTAATGACCTCAGTGATTCCCTGCGGAAAAATTAATTTGGAAAATGGATTAATCACAATTAATATAACTTGCAATGTAAAATGTACAGCCATTCGAAAATAAAATTCTTCCGAATGTATTAAAGTCAACAAACAGCTAATTTCATTCCTACTTTGCCACAACTAAATTTTTCGTTTTATTCGAGAAATATGATAAGTATCTTTGTGTCGATTCCAAAAAAATATAATGCAAGGAGATTACCGTTCAGAGAGAATTATATTTTATAATTCCTAATAGTAACACTTTGATAATCCATTTTTAAGTTTCGACAATCCAACCTTCTTTTTCAACCTAATCTTTTTATCAAACACATTCGATTTGTTAAAGACTAGTAATACAAACACAAATCTCAGACATGTAACATTTAATTGCGTGCCATTAAGCGCGATTCCATTAATCCGTCCAGATCCAGAAAACTATTGTGAGGAAAATGGAGAACGCCAGCGCAGTTCCGGGACATCTTGTATTAAGGCCCGGCGTTGGCGGCCGGGGGGAGGGGGGGGGGGAGGAGGGAGGGAGGGCAACGGGATGCGAGCGTGCATATTTCATGCGCCGAAGTTCGCGCGAGCGTGTTCACGAATACGTCGACGCGCTCGGCGTATGCGCAAAAACGAGAGCCTAGACGGGGGCCCCCCCTCTTGTCGGTCAACGATTGCTCCGCGGCCGCAATTTGTTAAAGGTGGTTAAGGACGAGCGTTCTTGCACGTCCCTGTGCGCGCAGTCTGCTTGCCCGCAGAGAGCGGCCGGCCGGCTTCTCGGCCAGCTTCCCCATTAAGATTCCTCGTGGATCACCGGAACTTCGGTCCCCGTTTCTCTTCTACGTCGTGGTGCTGGGGGCGCGCACCGTCGGGCGCGCGTACAACATCCCGTGTGTGTGCCGGCACCTAGATGCTCCTTGAAGGGCGATTACCGTCCGAATTGGCCCCCTCGATCGAGCCAAGGTCGGGTATAATTCGAGCGCATTAGCGTCCATTCTCGTTCCGATGGTCGTCCAGCGAAATTTTGCAATCGGCAGCGCGCCCGCGTTGACAACGAGGATTCTAAGACGATGAATGCTTTGTATTAATTTGTGAACTCGTAACGTATTTAAAATAATTTTAGTTTGCGCGTTTCTTTTTTCTTTTCATCGAATTTCTGCTACCGTTGAAATTACTGAATTATATCGAGATTTCTGAATGAATAAGATATCTCTGTATGATTATCACGTTTATACTACTGTCGTATTAAATACGAATGTATAAGTGCCTTCTCTGAAGATTAAATTATTCGAATCAAATAAATAAATGATACATTATATGACAGCGAAAAAAATTGGCGACTAAGTTAGTAAGTTGGAGTTTTCTTTTTCTGTTACATTTACCAGATCACCATGACCGAATTCATGTTTTCGCCTCATTAATCAACGTCTCCTTTCAGCGTAAATCCTTTCGATCCTTTTCCATGCAAATGCAGGCATCCCGTATAAGTATCTCGGCGAGCAAAAATGTCGGCAACATTCCGACGTTGTGGCGTTCAGCTGCTGCTTAAGGAACGATTACGTCGAAATCGGCCGTTCGATCGAGCCAAGGTTCAAAAGTTTCGGCAAATTAAGATCGAAGGGAGAGATCGATCCCGCGCGAGCACGAAGAGGAGAACGACGAGAAATTGAAATTTATGCGAGAGCGTTAAGCATTATAAATCACTTCTATGAAGAGAAAGAAAAAGAAAAACGACGATCGGCATGCATTTGTGTTAATGCAACCCGACGGAATTGTGTTAGCGGGCCCACGCGATCGGCGTGATTAATCGTGTCATTCATCTTCGTCACGTGCGGC